CCCACCCACTAGTCTTTCCTCTTTCTCTCCCTTTCTTTCCCCTTCTCTCCTCCACCTTCCGTTTATTTCCTCCTCTTGTATGGCTAGGATGCAGCTGCCTGGGTAAATTCCTCCTCTTACTGCATGGAAAAGAGGGAACAGAGAGAGGGTGGGCACCGTGCTGGCCTGGGCCCAAGGAGGGCAGGCTGGGCTGCTATTTATAGGTTAATGGGGCCTATTGTGGCCAACCCTCACCCTGGTCTGCAGGCCAGGAGGCTGAGAGTCGCCCCTGAAGCCCCAGGGATTGGAGAGGCTGGAAAGAGAGCAGGAGCGCAGGCGTGGGGCCGGAAATAGGCTTTGTTGGGGAAGAGTGAATTCACTGCCCAGCTGCCTTCTAAGTGCAGCTCCTTCCCAAGATCTTTTTCTGCCATTAATCTGTAGTCTGGAGGCTGAGAGGGGGCCCTCAGCTCCCAAACTTTGCGAGAGGTCCCCTCTGTCCCAGCTTTAGCTCAAAGGAAGATGAGACAATCCAAAAGGGTTAGGAGGTGGTGCTGGGGCTTAGGCCCAGCTGGTGGCTCCTCAGGCCAGGGAGAGGGAAAGGACTAACAGGGGCAGCCTTTGCCCTTTGGCTGCCCAAAGAACACGTGTTAGCCAGGCCTACATCCAGCATCAGGGGCAGCCCCAAATATTCTCACCACCTTTTGGGGACTCTGGAATGACCCTGTCACCCAGGAGTGACTTGAAGTCCTTGAGCCAATTTGGACTTTCTGCCTGGCCTCCACCTGGGGTGTGGACCACCTGAGAGTCACACTTAGCGGGTGAGGTAGCACCGTACATTGTTGGCCCATTTCTCGTGTCTAAGGGAGCACGTGGGCCTCTCGGAAAGAGCGACATTTCTGGTGTCAGATACTGCTGAGTTCATATCTGGGATGTGCGAGTTACTTAACCCCTCTGGACCTCAGTTTCTGCACTTGGCATCAGATGGCAAGGGTACACATTGATTCTGCCACCGACCAACTGTGTAAAGCTGGGTCCTTAACGTAACGTCTCCAGGTTTCTGTTTCCTCATCAGTAGGAAGAGGACAAAGGCACTTGGTGGGGTCGTTGCAAGGATGGTGAGTGAGCTCACATGCACATTGCCTGCCGCAGCGAGCCCGCACTGAATGTTGGCTTCTGCCCAGCCTTTCATAGGGCCCACCTCCACACTCTTACCCTGGGCCTTTGCCCACCTGGACTGTTCTGTCTTTACCTTTGTAAGCCTTAGTTTCTCCCTTTCTTCAAATCCCAGTTTCACTGGAAACATCTCAAATGGTCATTGATGATACAATGGATAAATTAACTGTGGGTCATACAAGAGAACAGTACCCAGCAAATGAGATAGTGCAACTACCCCCAACCATATGGATGAGCTTCACAAATACACTGTTGAGTAAAAGGGGCCGGCCACCAAGGAGTACAGACCACATGGTTCCACCTGTATAAAGTTCAAAACTCAGGGCCTGCAGATGGCATGGTAGTTAAGGCACTGGACTTCCACATGGCAAATGGTGGTTTGAGTCCCAAGACCTAGCAGCTTGCTTTCTCACTTTCCCTCTCTCTGGTCAAATTAAATAATAATAATAATAATTGAATAAATTAAATTCAATCATTCTTTTAAAAAAGAGTTCAGCAGATGGTGTAGCAATTATGTCGCTGGACTCCCACATGACCAACTGTGGTTCAATTCCTGGACCTGGTGGCTTGAAAATCACACTGGGCGTGTGTGCATGCGTGCCAAGATCCCGGGAGGAGAATGGAGAAGGGACTGCAGCATGGCCATTCCGTCTAGGGGGGAGGAGGATTTCTCACTTTCCCTCTTACTGTCTCTGTCTCTCTCTTTCTCCTGCGAGTGCATGCATACTAAGGCAAAAACCTCTAAAAAAAAGCTTGAAACTGCAGAAGTCACCTACGTTGTTAGAGGTCAGGACAGAGGAATCCTCAGGGAAATGGGGCATGTAGTGAGTGACGGGACATGAAGCAAACTTCTGGATATTTCTGAAGCATTTGGTGTTTTACGGTGGCTGCTGCCTACACGAGGGTACTCACTTCATGGAAACTCTTTGAGGGATGTACCTCTGATCCATGCGCTTCCCTGTACGGGTACTGTACAATACAAAGGGTTTCTGACTCCAGTTTAAAAGGCAGCACCCCGGGACCAGCAGTTAGTGTAATGGCTATGTCGCTGGACTCCCACGTAGTCTACCACTGTTCGTGTCCCGGACCCGGTGACTTAAACTCACGCCGGGTGCGTGTGCATGCGTGCCCAAGATCCCGAGAGGAGAATGGAGGAGAAGAGATTACAGCATGGCCATCCCCCCTGGGGGGTGATTTCTCGCTTTCTGTCTCTCTGTCTCTGTCTTTCTGATGAGTGCACGTGCCCTATAGCAAAAACGGCTCCTTCGAAAAAATAAAAAAATTAAAAAAAATAAAAGGCAGCACCCCTGCAGAAATCCTCCCCTGACCGCCACGAACTTCTTCCTCC